CCCAATGCAGACACACAGACATACACACAATCTATTTTTTTTCATATCACCCTCTCTACAGTCGAGGGAATAAAATAAAAACTTGACTACGATGTTCTAAACTGGAAGTTATCTTGTTTCTTAATATCATTGAAACTATGCAGATAATTAAGTCTTATGCACAAGCTAGAGCGTACAATTTCTTTACCGAAATACTTCATCTGATGTACCATGAAAAAGTGTAATGTAGTTCGTGTCAGTTTTCACGTGAGTTTCCCACACGAATATATGTTGCATAAAAATATTTTGTGCATGCAATTTACACAACGTTCAACTTCATTTCATGAAAGTCTTTTGAATATTTCATAAATAACTCTGAGTCTAGGATAATAATGATTTGGCAATTAAACTTTGAAAATATTTGTTTCTCAGTTGGAACCCTGATGCCTCTTCATTTACAAATTTATTGATCTTATTCACGTTAATCAACAAACATATCGAGAAAAAGAAAGAATTGTTCTGAGGAATAGAATCACTCACTAAATAACGTCCATGAGTAGAAAATATATTTCTTTATTCAATTTGTGGATACATATGGTACAAATCAATGTGTTTAAAACAGCATTATGTTAGCTATAAGCTCTATACAACCACAGCCCTTTGCAAAATTTGTAATTACAAGCGAATTTAAACGAGTTTTTCGGTGCAAGTTTTCATCAAACGCAAATGACCAAGGTCAATTTAATTTTTACTCACCGTATTAACTTTTCCTCTATGCATTTATTAATGGACTCTTCAAAGAAAAATATAAATCAGATATGAAAATTTGCTTTCAAGTTACAAAATGGGTGGTTTCATATTTGAACCTTAGAATTTTAAACCCAACCTGAACCCAGAGACCGAACCCGAACCCGAACTCCGAACCGTTCGGGCCGAACTAGGAACTTGAGTTCGCGTTCGCTGCATGCCCACCCTTAAGCAAGGCCGAAATGCGTCGTGTGATGGCTTTCAATCGAAAATATCTTTAATAAATTCAACTATTCAAGATTTTCGTGCTATTACGCATCAGTTTCTTACTACTTGAATTATTTTGGAGAGTTTGACACTACTATGTAATAATCGGTAGAGCACATACCTGATGAGTCGCTTAAGCAAGAATGAAACGCGTCGTGTAATAGCTTTCAATTGAAAATATCTTGAATAAAGACAAAAAACAGGACATTAACGATGTTACTTTACCTTTATACACCTATACATTAAAGCATATATGCTGATCAAATCTTTATATTGGAAGAACTAAAATAAATAGAACTTTTATACTTGTGAAGCAAAGATAAAAGAAGCTGAAAAATATCTATTGTTTAAAAGATAAAGATACATAAGCGCCAAGCAGACAATAAAATTCATGCGATGGCCGCGATAAGCCCTCGGAAGCGTAATAAATTTGTATTTTTGTCTGTTCTGTTTCGCTTTCGAGCCTAACGAAACCCATCGTATTTCCAGCAGTCGAAACTCACCCTATCCGAAAGATATAATCGACCTATCGACGAATTAATTCTACATACATTCCTGACGATCGAAGTTTGCAGTAGTCGAGAATAATAACCATATGGAAAGAACCGTATCAAGCACTCCAATTGAAATAAGTCTCAGACAAGAACAGTCTCTAATCTGAAAATCTCCTCCGGTTTCATGTAACTCATTCCAGAAAATATTTACGTATGCATATTTCATCCAGTCGTTTTAAGAGCTAGATGAAGCCTGCCATATGTTGCCATAAATTTACGTGAGCTTCTCAACAATATTTAATATTGAATAACTACTGATGACTTAGAAGTATAGATGCATACTAGATATATTTGAGTGGGTGTGGGTGTGTGTGGGGTATGAGTGTGTGGGTGTGGGTGGGTGTGGGTGTGTGGGTGTGGGTGTGTGTGGGTGTGTGAGTGTGGGTGGGTATGGGTGTGGGCGTGGTGTGGGTGTGATGTGGGTGTGGGTGTGTGGGTGTGATGTGGGTGTGGATGTCACTGTAGGTGTTCTTTGTATCCACACCCACCCACCCCCACCCACCCCCACACTCACATCCACCCACGCCCACACTGACACCCACACCCCACCCACACCCACATCGCACACGCCCACACACCCACACCCTTCTAATTGATCTTTCGAATAAACATGATAAAAAACTAAAGTCTCTTTCGTCAGTTGTTGAGCCACATTTAATTATCAATGTGATTAAGCACTCGATTAAGCCCCCTCCCCCCCTCAGAAAATCCATTTTTTGGTGAAGAAATCGAAGTCGAGTTTTTATCATAGGAATATGCAGCGAAGTTTCCTCTTTCAGAATATATATAAATTTTTAAAAAAGGGCTAAATTTTTACAGACTTTCGTAGGAGATTTCCACCTCAGTACCCGGTTTTTGGAGAGATTTTCGCGGTTTCTGTTATTTTTAGGAAGACTACTTTTGTACTTCTCTCAGCATGGAATAAACATTCTTATATCATATAGTACGACCTGTAGTGCTAGTTTGCGCCATCTATTGTGCGCTTTCAAAAATTTCACATATATATTATCAATATACCATTATTTCCTGCATTTGAATGAAAAAATCATTTCTAAAACTTCTTTCACGTTTTTCTCAAAACATGGTTTTCAATCAGAAACATTGAAGCTCCTCCCTCATTTCTCGAGCAATAATGGGCAATAATAATCGGCCGAATTTCAGACCGAAAAAAACTCATTGGTGATCTCGTAATACTGTACAATTCAATAAGTATTTATCCATGTTTTATCGCCATTTCTCCAGAAAGGATAAAATATAAAATTCAACTGTATTTAAATTAATCGAAAACCAGACTGATCTATCTATGTTGAAGAAAAGATAAATACAATCTGCTTGCACTCTACGTTTGCTTTTCAGCAATCGATTATTTTGTCGAGATTTGGAAAAATAAAAGAATTTTTATTATTTGTGATTTGTGTCAAAAAAAGAATTTTAAGAAATGCAGATTTTAATTTGCCGTTTATCGAAATATTGAAACACTCAACAGGGCTCTGCATTAGATTTTAAGGCACATGATACATCAACAACAATATAATAATGTTCACGTATGTACAAAAAACAACTACCCGATCAAAATAAAAAAGAATAAGAGAAGAAAAAGAAGAAAAAGAAAAAGAAAAAAAATCACCGAAGGGAAGACAATAAAAAGAGAAGAAAACACAAAACTAAAAGAGACAATGCAATTATTTGATAAAAACAGAAAAGAGAAATAGTTAAACAACAATAAAAATTTTTCTTACGAAAAGATTTTTACTGAAATAATGTATCATTGAACATTGTGACATTTAATCTTTTTTGTTGCCATTATTATCATTGTTAGATGATATTCGATTGTGTTCACCATCAGTGATCATTTTTATTTATTTGTACTTGTATCAAATCTTTTCTATCTAGATCTATGAAAGAATATCTCAGAAGGTATTAATGATTACAGATCAATTCAAGTAATCGATTGTAACAAATAGAAATACTCATCATAAGTTGAACATTTAAACTTATATAGTAGTATTTAGAAATTTTGTTAACATTTTAATAGAATTCAAACATAACTCTTTGACGTTGTGTATTACAACAAATTATACTTCTTCATTAAAAAAGTTTGCATGTTATAACTATTACATTAATATTTGTAAAATATGTATTAATGAAATAGATGAATTTTTACATCAATATTTGTAAGATATGTATTAATGAAGTAATCAATTTTTCCATCAATATTTGTAAAATATGTATTGATGAAATAAATCGATTTTATACAATGTGATAATTCTTTATTAGAAGTTATATATTTTTTTAAAATGTTTTATATCAATATTTATAGCAATATCTTTGCAATTGTTAATAAGATAAACACTGACTTCATTCATCTAACGTAACAAATATAATCTTTCATTATAAGTTATATATTTAAACTTATATCCATATTTCTAAATTCATTTGCATTAATATATTGTATAAACATATCTGTAAAATTTAAAATCATATTTATAAATCTATTTGCATTTAAATATAACATAGACATTGTACTATCTTGAAATTCATTTGCATTTACATATTATATCATCATTTCTGTAATTATTAAATTTATATCAATATCTTCAAGTTAATTTATATTTACATATTCTATCATTATTTCTATAAATAAAATCTAATCAATATATTTCAATTGAAGTCTTTGAATAAAATTAGATTAGATTGTTATTATTTATTGTGTACTAGATGTTGCTGTAAATTTTTAACATTACGAGTACCTAAAACCGGTTTTGTTTCATGTATTGGAGATTCTATAAAATATTTGTTCCACAGTGCATGAAATTTAGCTGGAAGTGTTTTCATATTCAAACAATATGTAAAATGAATGAACATTGTACTTCTATAATCAAATGGCATTTTTTCATTTGTACCTAAATAGATTAATTTTTCTCGTAATGTTATATAATTGCTTGTTGATAATGGTTCTATTAAATTATGTTTTTGAAATACCCGACTGAATTGTTTCTCTATAAATTCACCAGGATATTTATTTAATAGTAAAGCCATTCTTAATTTTTCACGTTCCTTTACATATGTTTCAAATGTTGAACAATATTTAATTGCCCGAATTAACATCGTATATGGAATATTAATTTTCATATGTACTGGATGAACACTAGTAAATGGTAAAAAATATGGTTCATATGATGGTTTGTGATAAACTTTTGTAAATAGTACACCATTTTTATTTTCAACAGATAGATCAAAAAAATTCGTTGACTAGCCAATTTGTGCTTTCAATTTAATATTTATGTCGAGTTGGTTCCATCGATCAATTTGTTTTAACAAATGTTGAGTTGGCCAGTTAATAGTAATAAATATGTCATCAATATATCGTAGATAAAGTCCATTGCTATTATTCAATTGTTTAACAATGTTACGTTCATAAAAGAACATGTAGCAATTAGCGATTGTTAATGTTAATGGTGAGCCTATAGCACCACCTTGTACTTCATGATAAAATTCTCCATTGTAAGAAAAATAGTTATTATGTATTACAAATCGACACAAACGAATAATAGTTTCAATTTTTAAAGCTTTAATTTACTTTATGTTCAAGTATTCTTGAGGGTGTGGGAGGGTGTGAGTGTGGGTGGGTGCGGGTGCATGGGTGTGCGGGGTGTGGGTGTTGGTGTGGGTGTGTGGATGGGTTCCTCCACTCACCCTCACACCCACACCCACACCCACACCCACACCCACACCCACACCCACACCCACACCCACACCCACATCCACACCTACATCCACACCCACACCCATACCCTCAATAAAATCGTAGAATGTCGATGTAAACTCTGGTACGTTTTCGAAAGAATTACCCCTCTTCTCCAGGAAACTCGAGTTGGAGAACTCGAATCTGACATTCATTTTGGAAAAATCAATATTGCAATTGCTTACTGGTCGATTAATAGCGCTTCTGGAAACACGCCGGCCCAATTCGAACTCCCCACATGAAATTACCTATAGGGAGACATTTTCTGAAAAACTCGATTTCTATTGGTTCCTGGCTGACCAATAGGGTTTTCGAGGAAAATGGAGCTCAGATTCGAGTTCCTCGGTCTCGAAAACCTATATTAGTTTTGAGAAAAACCATGAAAAATCGTTTCACGCACGAAAAACGGACCTTCAATTTTCGGCCATTCAGAGCGCGGCAAACAGACGCACAATTTTCGTTAGGTACACTCATCCTTTCATGACTGAGAAAAACCAGAACCAAAGCTGTCAAAAGTTTTGACGGTTTTAGTTTTGATATAGTTTTGGTTTTGGGCCAAAATCAAAACCAATGTCAAAACCAAAAGGTTTGGTTTTGGTGCATGCCTAGATATAGTCATTCTTCGGCCCTTCGACATGAAGGTTCTACAAGTTCGACCTTCTTCTGCGCAAGACATTGAATTGAAAGGTCTAGATGAACTTGACAGAAAGACACAACGAGAATGTGCTTGTTTTGCTTTTTGAAATTGTATTAATGAATAGTCTGTTGATAGTTCAAAAACACCATCTCTACGAGAAAGAGCTGAGAGAGTCTCCGGACGAGCGTTACTTGTATGAGTTAAGTAGACCAGTCAATTAGACCCCAACTCACTATTTGGTTCTATACTATTTAACCATATATTTTTCAACGAAGCAAGACAAGTACTGTTGAACAATATCGGAAATTAGTCAATAGAAAAATATCATATCAATCAGATTAGTTTGTCCGTTGATAATAACAACTATTCACTATAGACGTGATGTACGAGCTGGTGGAAGACTAGTTCTAACCGTTACATCTGTGAAAAATTTTCTTTATGAATGGTTCAATTTCTACGATGCTTTACCAATTTAATGGTAAGTATATAAGTGCACACACTACTCTTCCAATTTGGTGTTCCACAACGTGTATATCGCAGTACTGACCCGCCTACTTCGTTGGTCGAGAACTTTATGCTCACTTACACAAAATCCTTTCAGTAGAGGGTCAGCGACGTTTGCGTCGCGTTACTTGTATCTTAACAGAGATACCGAAGTCCTTTCAGAAGAAGAGTAAATAAGAATAATCAAATGCTACATATAAACCCAACGGTCCTCTTCAGGACCAAGGGACGAAAAACTAGCCGTGCAGAGTCCTACCGGTTCTACATGTAGCAGCTACATGGCATCCTGGGAGGAGAAAGACTGATTCTGACAATGAATTACGGGTTAGTATTTGGCCAATTAGTCAGTATTGATCGGCTCATATTATCATGACAACATCCTTAAAGGTGTTCCACTTTTAAAGAGTGAGCAGCAGCTCGACGAAATCCTTAACAAAATTAACCTCCAATACTATTTCGGACTCAACATAGGATCTAAATAGTTGTTGCCTTTCTGTCTACTGACAAAGCCGTTCATAACAAACAAGTTCAATTTTTGACACTTTAATCCATCCATTTCGATTATATTTCATTTGACCGCAGTGAAAGTAAGATTCTATTTCTACTAGAAATGACATAGACTTCTTTTTCGACAAGTTTTTCAACATACATATTTTCGCACATAGCGACATCTGACGATAGTGAAGCAAAAGGTGGGACATTGGACAAAAAATTTGAAAAATTGTGATATTACTAAAAAGAACGCTGAATAGATGAGCAAATTATTAAGAAAGTTTGAGCGATGGGTTATTTTTTGTTTTTGAGAAAATGTCGAAGAAAAATCTCGTACATGTGTAATGTAGACACATCCGGATGGCTTTGCTTGCACTTTTTTCAATAAGGAGGAGTTTTGAAAAAAACAAAAGTTATACAGAACGATAGAGTACTTAATACTGATGCTAAATATGTAATTAGAATTCTATTAGTGATTTTCTATGCAAAAAAACTTCAACATCAAGAGCCAATTTATGATCCCATTACCTGGTTGTAGAGATAAAGGTCTATCTCGACAAGTAAGAGTTCAAATAAAAAAACTGAAGCGCACAGATATGAGACAAGGTCTAGAGTCCAAAATAGTGAAATCAAAACATAATGTTGAGGGGGTGGCAAATTCGTGATCTTATCGTGCGAGGTCCTTGTATTGTCTTGATTGTTTTAAGGTCCCACCCGCTCAGAAACCAACTTTGCTATTTTTCATCCGATTTCAACCAAAATTTCAGAGAATGTTAATCAAGGCTACGATAGATTATGGTTAAAATATCTCCACCAAATCTCAAAGATATGCACAACTTCTAGTCAATTCATTGGACAAAAATACCCTTTACGCGGGCGAGCTTTTCACAATGAGGATACGAGCTATCAAGGCAGGGCTGGTTTTTAAGTTGTAGAGTACCTTTAGGACTAGATCCTAATAGAGCCCGGTTTTTGAATGTCCCTTCGTTTGTTTTTTAAAAATCCTTTTTCAAAATATTCTCGAATTCATGGTCAAAAAAGGCTCTATTAAAAATGAAATCTCTAAGTTTTTTTATTTCAACAAAAGAGAAATTCAAAAATTGGACTCTATTAGGATCTAGCCCCACTTGTCCTCTATGCAATAAAAAAAAAATTATCACTTCTATATTGAGTCGTTATTAAGAAAGGCATGCCCCCATAAACCGTATACTCGAAAAAATTGATTTTGAGAAAAACGAAACACAATATTTTTGATTCATTTTCCTCAGCTATGAGATCTCACAGAAAAAACTCATCGAAAAAAACTAGCCTACATATTTTGGCAAAAAAAAACTATGCTAGGTTATAGTCCATTACAAGGACTATCAGTATGTGTATAAATCCCAAAATCGAGTTTTTTTCGAAAAATTGACTTTTCTGAGGGGGAGGGGAAGAGCAGCTTAATGAGAAGCATTATCCCACTAAATAAAAAATTCAAAAGCGGAGATAGCAAATACCACATTTGGTATACCTTCTTATCTGAGGAAAAGGGACAACTAAGTGTTTTCCTAAGAAGATACTTCTTGAATATCGTTAGACCCACCGGTGGGTTTCATCGCCTTGAATGTGTTAAGCCTGTAATTGGATTGATTGAGCACATAGGCGGACCTTTCAGGCGGAGGATTCATGCTATGTTCTAGAGAAGAAATAGTCGTTGACCTTCCCTTGGTGAAAGAAGCGTTCATGGAAAGTTTGGTTGCATTTGCGCGTATGATGTTGAATAACAAACAAACAAACAACAAACTTTCTTCTTTATATATTAGATATAGAACCACCGTATTACTCATCATTGACATATATTTTACTACAGATGTCACTATATTGTAAACATTAAGTGTCTGTCACATATCGAAATATGAATATCGATGTGTTAAATGTATAGCTACTCTCATTATAGTTATAAGTACTCCAATGTACTTAATTTCACTGTAGTTCAGTACAATCCTATGTAGTACGCGTACTGAGTAAAATGTACTCAAGTAAGAAGTCTTTAAGAAAAGTCCAAAGTACATTTGTGACGTACCAAGTACTTGTACTTGTTCAATCACCGGATTACTGACCGGAGGTACTCAAAATCCTAGTATTTCGGATCAAACCCCCATTTTCTAGCCGATGACCCTCCTTTGAAAATAGTACCATTCGGTGCAGAATTGAATTCTGCATCTAACACTACTAATTGAAGAGCTAACACAAGTCTAGGAGCGAATGTCAGCAAGGATTACTCGAAACCGCTGCTAAATTTCCTTATGTAGTGTTACATTTGTTACCGGCCCGTCGCTCACATGCCCAGGTGATTCGATCCGACTGTCGGATTACGTCGGATTATATCGGATTATATCGGAAAAATTACCGGATTTTAACGGATCCGACGGGAACTCGTCGGAAGTTGTCGGCGTCCTAGCCACAGGATTCCGACAAGAGGTTCCGGATGTCGGAATAATCAGGATCCTGCAAAATCCCTGAAACTCCGACACTTTTCGACATCCAGAACCACTTGTCGGAATCCTGTGGTTAGGATTCCGACAAATTCCGGCGAATTTCTATCGGATTCGACAGGGTGAATTCGACCTGGGTGGCTTCACATGGCCTTCACTATTCGTATGTGCTTTTCTCTCTGTTAGGCCTGTGCTGTTTCTTGTTGTCTTTCTCCTTCGTTGCTCGTCTGATTTTCTATTTGGCATTCGTGTTGGAGAGTGTCCACAGAAGAGTCGAATAAAAGGATCTCTCACAACATTTAAGAGCATAATTTAAAAAAATCTTTTCTGATCATTTCTTATCTCCCACAAATGTATAGGTGTCATATAAGAAGCATAGACAGTAACAAACACATTACAGTTGGCGATTGTCACGAGCGCTTTTTATATCTTTAAAACTTACATTAACTAATATACGTAAATCGCAAGGTAATATTATGAATCATTTCGTTGATGGTGGTAAAGAGTCTGCTAAAACTCTCAGACCTATCGAATTTTATGAAAAAAAGCTTATCAGCGCAGCGTCTGATGGGGCTAAAATGTGGAACTCACTACCGGATTCTGGATTAAGGGATAGATGATCTATCCGCACAAAAGGCTATCGTGAAACACTAGGGGAAACAGCAGACTCCAAGCATTTTAATGACTATAAAAGACTTCGTAAGACTTCACTAGTCTTCATGAGACTTTTGAGGACTTCTTAAGGCTTCACAAGACTTCAAGGGCGAACTCTCTACTGTTTTCTCCTTGGTAAAACAACAACACCCAGAGACATGTCGTTTCACTCTGTTTTTTTATTGTGATATCTCTTGCATTATTTTCGCGTTCTAGGTGCTCTTCGCTTATCTTCAATTGTTACTATGCTCTTATCATTGACATCTCTCCTTCATTTTATTTTTTTTGCTTTGGTCATCTCTTTTTTTGATTGAATATTCACATTTATTTCGCCGCCACCGAGTATTAGAACTCGCAATTAGAGGTGTCGCGTTCCGGAAATGGGCAACGGTGACACCCATAGATTGATAAATATGTCTTAGATTCTTTTCTGATAAAATTAAGGCACCCCAAAAGACAGCTGAGCGTTTTAGAGAGTGAAACACGTCTTAAACTTGCATTCTCAAGAATAGAGAACGCAATGTACGTTCCAGTTTGCAGGAACGCGGAGCGCATAACGGGCTTGCATAAAAAGATGAGCAAACACGTATAAATATCTCGATAATTTTAAAATAAGCTATAAAAACCAGTTTGAGATGCGTTCACGTTTCCTGGGAAGGGAACGCGACATCCCTACTCGTAATCACACGCCCAAGTACTCTATTTAACCGAAACGACATTTATTACTGTCGCTTCACATCGCCGCTCGAATATTCTAGCTCGATATTGATTACTTTCAGTATTTTTTGTCGTGTCTCACAAGGCATACTGATATGATGCTATTCATTCGTGCCGAAGCCTATCGCAGTATTTAGTCGTGCGACAGCTTCGATTATTAGATCCTACGCTCTTTTGGAAGGCTCTAGAAAGTTCTAGAATTCTCTAGAAAGGTCCTTCCATTGATCTTTCTTCCTTTTTCTTCTATGGGGAAATGGAAATCAGAAGCCTGAAGTTCACATCGAATCTTATCCTCACTATTCTGTAATGAATTGGAGAAAAAACAAAAATGCAACCTAAGAAAACACCGATAAAATAGAGAATTAAAACTCTCAATGTGAAAAACACATTTCTCGAACGATTTTGTCTTTGTCAGCATTTTGGTTGAATTAGTCTTATCATGCATTCGTATTACAGAAAAGTGAGCGATCACGATTGACAGAATACACTAGACACAGACACAACCAGCTAAGCATAATAGTCACGGGTAAGAAAACATGCCGGTAAAACGGAAACAATTATGGACTTTTGACCCTCCTTCATCCTTTTGGGGATTTTTTAACTGTCAGCGTCTGTAAGAAGGGATGCCTGTAATGGAGAAGCAGAACCGCTATGTTCATAGAGTTAGAAAATATCCACTGAAGAACTTCATGAAAAGTTAATTATTCTCCGCATACATTTTATTCTACAATATTCAGGTTTTCGAATGACAATCCCAGTGATTGATCTCAGTCCTCTGTGGAATTCACCTTCAGATGGCCTATCAAAAGTCGCACAAGCATTTACTTGTGCGTTTCAAGAAATGGGCTGTGCTTATATCACCAACCACCGTGTGCCACAATCAGTCATCGACGAAGCCTTTGCTCAAAATCGCCGTTTTCATGCATTGCCTTTAGAAGAAAAGAATAAAATTCGTTTGAATCAATGGCAGAGAGGATATTTTCCATTAGCATCCTATCAACTCAAATCTGAAACGTCTAAAGACGTACTGGTAGAAGACGTAAAAGATAGCGTCAAAGCTCCCGACCAAAACGAATCATTCGTTATGGGTCACGAACATTTAGAAGGACCACCTGATCTAAAAGAAGAAGACTTATTTAATCGATATTTGCAAGGTCCTAATCAATGGCCTCATGGTATGCCGGATTTCCGTGAAGCTACATTGACCTATTATCATGCATTGAAAAAATTGGCTCTAGAATTAACCAAAGTTTTTTTTGCGGCAAGTGAGACTGATTTTAATCGATTTGCTCCACATTTTCAACAACCATCGATTGAACAATACATGCTGCATTATCCACCGCAGCCATTACCAGTGCCAGAAGGTGTCTTTGGTATTGCAGCACATTGTGATGTTGGTTTTATTACTATTTTATCTCAAGATGATGTAGATGCTTTGGAAATCAAAACACCGAGTGGAGAGTGGATCACAGCCTCGAATATGATCACATCAAACGGTGAATCTGCTTTTCTGATTAATCTTGGTAATATCGCTTCAATGTGGACAAATGGTTGTTTGCGAGCAATTCCTCATCGTGTTATTAATCGTTCTAGTCGTCATCGCTATTCTATCGCCTTTTTCTGGCGTCCGCAATTGGATTTAGTCATTGATACTCGCGACTTGGGAACGCGTTGGTGTCCTGCTGACAAAAAGCCTAACTATGAGCCACATATTATTGGTCAATACTTGCAAAATGTATACTCTCATGCTTATACTGAACTATATGCTACAATTGATGGTGCTAGTGGCAAAAACAATCATAATCTAAAAAAAGATTGAAATAGCGTTTTTTCTTAATAGATGCGACTTTCGAACTCTAATGAAGTTTTCGTCTGACAAACGGTCTAGAACTATCTTGAGAGTGAGGACGAGTATGAAAATATAACTACGACAATGCATTTCGATCTAGTTAAAGATCTCATCAGGTGGTACATGTAACGGATTAACAAGAGAAGCCGTTATGAGAAGTGGAGAGGCATATACGCCTGTGTCTTACGAAAGGGTCTGGGTGTGGGTATGTGAGGATACTCATTCTATACACCCACACCCCAAGATGTTTTCTTTGAATGTGCGACGATGGCAATGCTCATTACATAATGTCACTGCGAGATCGCATCGGTGTCTCATTCTTTATGCTCTACCACTTGGACATGTACGCGCGACTACTAGAAGGGAGCCCGTTTATGGGGGTTTCAGTATGTGGTGTTGAAGAGAGAACACCCGAGATTGTATTTAAAAAGAAAATAGCTTACATAGGCATGCTCTGGGATATCTGGTGAAATTTAGACTCCGGCTATTTCCAAGTGATAGAGCATGGTGTGGAATACAAAAGTCGAAGATTATTTGACTGTCTCGGGCATAAGCCTGGTCTCCGCTATATAGAAATAAAACAGGTTCATCTCTGTCTTAATTCAGTACCCGCCGCGTTAGTCTATTCTCTGCTCTATAATGGTGACATTTTTTTGCAATCTCAAAAAATTTGATAGACAAGGCAAAACCCGTTCACAAGGAACGCAATGCCCGTCGGTTGAATTTTTTTTGTACAGTTGTCAAACTTTCACCTCCTTTTTTCTGACAAGCACATTGGATTGGCTCTTACTATGTCGCCTCGTACTCTTATCTGGATTCTTTTCTGATTATCTCACTTGCTGTTACACCCTACACCGGCACCCACACGCACACCCACACCCTGATATTTGGGTATTGGCATGGGTTGGAATAAAAACAACACCTACACCCACATTCGCCCACATTTACACTCATACCTACAATCTCTCATGAGACATTTGTGATGCACATAATTCTCTGATAAAATATGTATGTCTAGTGCATGAAATAATCATGTATGCATTCAGATGATTATTTAAGTTAAAATATTTTATTGTTACAACGAATCGTATAAAAAATCATATGGTTGAATGAAATATCAGATTAAACTTGATGTAATGCAAGTGAATCATCCAGAAGTAATATCAAATAAGATGATCGGAACATAACTGCATTGTTTACATTTGCTCTTAGATCCACAAAACCTGTTGAAAAGCTAAAGAAACTGTCTTGTGAATACTCTTTTGGACTACATTCCGATTTAAATTGACAGTCAAGAGCGATCTGAATCAATTTATCATTATATCCATCGTGTACAGCAAGCCACTCACCGCTTTTTGCTAGAACCACGAGATGATCATCACTCCGTGGTAGTTCCGTTTTAACAAAGCTAATAGGTTGTTGAGTTAAATCTAGCACATATAAGTAGTTGTCTGAGCCAATTTTCATCATCATACCAAGTCACTGTTGGTTGTATCGCACAGATATTATTTTACGTTCATCATCTTTCTCGTTCTTCTTTGCCCAGTCAGTGTTCCAACAATTTTTGGGCGGTGGATCATTGCCGATCAGATTTACCATAGTCAATCGGCAAATTAAAAAAAAGACTAGGCAAACTATAGCAGTGCAAGTAACATGGATAGTACGATGCCGACGTGACAACGAAGAATTTGTCATTTGAGCACGTACAAGAGACAAAATTAGATTCCTTTCCTTGTAATAGAACACTTTCAATGGACGATAGTTGAGTTGTAATGGGATCAAACACGTATGCATACTTTTTAGTTAAAACGATGAATTTTTGAACAGACTCACACCATATCATATCAACTAATTCGTAAGAAGATATTGGTGTCTCCGCAGTTGATCTAACTAATTTTAGATTTTCATCGAAGAGATGGAGTTTATCATCTCCAAATAATAGCAAGAATTCGTTGTTAGTGGCCATAATTGTGGACTTGCTATATTTCATCTGTTTTGGAAGCGATCGAGCTTTAAATGGTTTTTATGTAATACATCTTAAATCGACTGAGCGTTCGAGATGAAGCGTAGTCCCTACAAGATAGAGTTTTTGTGAAGCATGATCTGAAGAAAGTGTTGAAATGTATAGGGCAGAAATTTTGGATGCCCTCCCACCTTCCTACATAGTTTTCATTTAGTTTTGCTGAGAGAAGGGAAAAGTCTCCCAAATCTAGAGAAAACTAATTTTTTTTAAACCTTTTACAGTGAAATATACAGCTCTATCTTCCGATCTCAGAGATGATACCCAGAGTTTTTCTGAAGAGAAGAACTCAAATATGAGCTCCACTTGCTTCGAAACCCCATTGATTGAGCAATAACCAATACCAACCAAGTTATAGGAAAAACGACTTTCTGAGCGTACATCAAGGCGAAGAGTTCAAATCTGATCCGTATTGACCCCAAATCCTATTGTTTGAGCAGTAGCCAATATGAATCAAGTGTTTATAGAAAAGGTTCGCCAGGACAATTTTTTTTGTTCACACATTCTTAGATGACTCATCTGTCTCATTCATTTTTTGAAGTACACAACAGTCGGGTTTTAATCCGAGGTATTTACATTTTCATCAATAAAGGTTGCACGACTGGAGGATATACTCCAATTGTTGTGGCAGCTGTGTAACAAATGACAGGAGGGCTACAGAACAATTTTGGTCTAACAGAAGATTTGCTCAAAGCTGAGGTAAGATAAGTATTAGTCCAATTATTCAAACTAGCTTAATACAAAAAGTATTACTAGAATACAATCACATTCTTTTGTCTGAATGATGTATGGGAATATGATAACTTTGCCAATAGCTTCTAATTCTTATCTTCTGAAGATATTTTACGAGTATCCAATAATTGCTAATACCCATAGTAACGTCAAATAAAAGAAATGAAGACAAGATGAATAGAGACTGATTTCTAAAAACTAGGGCTTTCTGCTAGACGGCTTGGTGTGCGATAAGCAAGAGGAAGAAATCTCACTCGGAGATTCCGACGTATTCGCCGCCATTCAAATGCCTTGGAATGAGATTTTTTCACTTAACGATACGTCAAAGATACATTAGTTTCACATTGAATATAAATGGTGGGGATTTTGTTCATTAATATCATTAAAACAAATAGAAACATTTATCACTAGACACAAAATGTTCATGTATGCTGTACTATTTTTAATTTCAATAACGATCAACTTGTTCAGGCCCCCTCAAAGATGTATCTCAACTAATTAACATACAAATTATATGTAACTTTCAGGATATATTGAAGCTGGTAAACCACACTTATGGTGAAAATTTCAGCCCTATATAATGATGTTTGGCAGAGATATTCATCAAAAACAGCGTCAAAAATAGCACTATCGTAGCGCTAATATTTCTGCGAGTCTTCGTTTTAGACATTTAATTTTTTTTTGTTTGAAAACTTCTGTCTAGAGCTAATCACTCGAGAGACCCTATTTTTGAAATTATTGTTAAGCGAAGGAAAGGGATGGCAAGTTCAATGATTCAACAATCCTTAAAAAGACGGCGCTGCTTTTGTAGGGGTATTTTCTTGTATGAAAATAAAGGGGCCTTTATAAAAATTGGCCACCTGTGAGGTTAGCCCTAGAAACAAACTTCCAAACAAAAAGAGATATTTGACCTTGTCTTCGATTATGATAAAGTTCTGCTGCCACTATATCGTTGAACACACGTTCTCAAGGCAACGAAGTATATTCTTCGGATTTTTTGTAAAAGCGGTTTTGTTTCGAACAGGGGGGTGACGAAAATGTCCCAATTTTTTTGGAAAAAAAAGAGCCGACTAAAAATTTATTCGCATGTCAAAGGTCACATGGTGGGCACTTTTCCCATGAATTTATGTGAATTTCGATGGTTTCAGCAAAATGTGACTTTTCGAGGAGACTTTAAGAATCCACATTTACTTACGTGGTTCTCCAATAGAACTCATGCTGGTATTACCAATAGTCGATAAGGCTAGAGACACTTGAGTATTACTTTTTTGATCGGTTTGGTCGGTAAAAGCATCGTACCGAGAACGCTTATCAACATCAGAATACCTGCTATTATCTTGCTCATTTCTATTGATAGAAGTGTGATAGCGATTTGTATTTAGATTATGGCGCCTGTCTATTGATCGACTGATTCGATTGCTAAAAGAAATAAATTAAGAATACACAGATATATTTAAGCATTTGTCTAAAAGTGAATAATAGCTGACAAAAAAAGGTACAGGTCTTAATACGTGCTGAAATAATATATTGGTCTTTCTTTAATATTTTGATAACATTATCAAATGAAAGCTATGCAACTGAGATGAAAATGACCATTAATATCCTGTTCAAGTACTAGCGTTCATTAAAAAGCGATTCAATTCTTTAAATACTCTAAAACATGCGATTCTCTTCGTGATCCTCTGAATTAATACTACAATGTTTATCATCTTTATTACAAATTTGAAAACAGTTCTCTACCTAGAAATAGTTTTATTATATATGGCACAATCAAAAACACATGAAAGTATTTGAGAAGTAAATAGTCGGTTCGGATTCGTCACTCTCAGTTGATGACGCATCAGTGTACTGTATCCTTGTAGACTGGTGATCGACGTATAAATGGCACAGTGAACGGTACACTGTTACCAATGTATTTCTACTACGTACAAGATCGCAAGCTGTTATGAAATATTTATGAGAAACTATATGGAATGTCACTCCTAATTTCAATTGAAATTTTGCTTAATTAAGTGTTAGATCTGTATTGCATATTTTCCGCAGCTGTTAGTGGCAATCAAGTTCAGAGAGTGCTTCTCTAGCATATGAATATTAATAATATTGGCGATATATTTCATATAAACTTACCCTTTTTTGTTTTCCGCAGATGCAGATTCTTCTTCCAGATGAACAATGAAAAGACTATTTCTGAAATTGAGCGATTTACTTTTGACATGGA